AAGAGTGAGCTGGAGAGATGAAATTTTAGGAGATTCTATATTGTCTCTTCTTTTACATTAATTCCCTAGTGTATACAGGGGATTTATTTTTATGAATTATATGTTGGATTAATTTTTGGACTACAATGTAATTAATAAATGTGTTGGGTCATCATTTAATAAGCCAAAATTATTGTGGTCTAATTTAGAATTAAATTTATGACTTTGGGCACATTTGTCATGATATTATAGTGTGAATACCATAAGTGCAAATTCTAAATTGATGTGGGGCAGAATTAGAATTAAGCAAAACTTTTTTTTTTTTGTAACGTAGTTACTTCAAAGGGTAATGGTCCCCGATTTGCAGAGAGAAACATCTTTTTTCTTGTACCCCATGAACAAGAAACGACAGAAACTCTAGAAAATCTGCAGATTGGAAGATCATAACTTGTGCAATCGATCTAATGGACTCTGGTATGCTTCCGCTAATCTATGGTTTATTTCTCTTGAAATTGAATGTGATTTTTTTTTAGTTCTAACAATTGGTATCAGAGCTAATTCACGTTCAGTTTTTTATTGAGAAATTTTTTTTTTGTTTTTTGGCCCTTAGCCATTGTTGTTCACCAATTATGAAGTTATAAATTTGTGATTAATGATGACTTGTATATATTGTTTAGTTTGTTGGTTTTTTATCTGTTTGGTATATCAAATTTGTTGGAATCATTTTTTGGGTTCCCTATTTTGGGTAATTTAAATTACCTTTAAAATTTTATAAGTTTTTGTATAAATAAGGGTTAGAAATCATCTAGAAATTAGATTTCTAACAACTTTGGGGTTTGAAGGCTTCATTTTGGTGTAAAAAATGGCTTTGAAACCGTTGGGTTCTGATTTTGGTTCGAACTGGGTTGTTTAACCCATCTGAAGGTTGAAGTAAGTAAACGACATGTAGTTTTCTATATTTTTTTTAAAAAAAGTTTAATTAAAGGTTCAATTAAATTCAAATTATTGGTACTTTATAAATTTGTCCATCATTTTTAATAAGCTTATTGAAACATGATGTTGCCAAAGTGACATCTTTTGTGTGGATAGTTCGTGACGAATGTTGGATGTTGTGTGTGTGTGAGTTCATGCGTGTATTGATCGGCCTAAAGAAAAATTAATACTTGGTCGAACTGCATACAAACTTGTGATGGTAAACATGTAACAATTATAAGGAATTATATGTGAATAATAAATCGATTCAAAGATAGATTTATTATTTGACATGCATTATTGTTAATGTTTGATCATTACAACAAGATTACCACTAGCAGTTAATATTACTGTCCAAAGACTTGATATTAATGTTGCATTAGGTGTCTTGAGATGAGATTTACCATTATTTGAATTTATTGACATTATTGGTATTAAATTTTTTTTTATGAACATGTTATTTATATAATCATTTTCTTCATTTTTAAGTTGTTGCTACTGTATCTGCTAACCTCAATTGGGTTCCAATCCTTAAGGGTGACAGCTTTAAGGATTGGAAAGAGAACATTCACATTGTTCTTGGCTGCATGGATTTAGACCTTGCGTTAAGAATGGAAAAACCCGCTCCTCTTACGGATGCTAGTTCCTCCGAGGATAGGAGGATCTATGAGAAGTG